GATAGGAACACCGATGTAAGGTTGCAAGGCTAAACTCCGCTCTAAAGGGCTGGGGTGAATAAATACTATTAATTCGGACCCAGACCGTTGAAACTTGAGGACGCAAGGAGTCGGCTGGGAACATTGATGGTAGCTAACATAGTAGACTCAGCCGCGATGAAGTATCTGAATACTTTTTTCTCTGAGTAATCGCATTTGTGATATCATACGATGCTCTATTCGGACACAGCGAAGATGGCTTACAGAAAAAATCGCTCCTGATTCGGAGCTAACACTGAGGGTGTAGAGCTTTCAAAGAAAAAGGAGAATCCGAAGTGTTATTTACGCATAGCAAATTTCTCACAGGAAGGAGGAGCGCCCGGCGTAGCCGGGCGAACCCATAAGAAGGAGGGAAGCCCGGCGTTAGCCGGGCGGCCCGACTGGTATACGATATATGTTAGACTCTCCATTCAAAGGACATTGGACCACTGTCTTAACCAACAGTCATTGCTTGTGTACCGCGAGTTATTCGAACATATCATACGTAAAAGTATGACAGCAGCGGAGAGAAAGCATGAGTTCGAGTTGTGAGAGGAATGTAGGGAGCGTAACAAGCAGCTGAAAAGCCGTGTTTGGGTGGTGTACCGGATTAGGCGTATCGACTCTAAAAACGTGGAGATCGGAAAACGACTAAATTGTCACAGACTACCCCTGGTATTCGATGTTTTCTTCTCAGTTCAAGAAGCTTGAGTAACAAGATACACCTTTTGCAATTCTTCCTAGACACGTACAATCCAGTCTTTGTCTATATCATTGAGACTTGTTTATCATCAAAAGTATATAGTACTGAACTTATTGGAAAACGCCTCACTATCACTTTCCGACTTGATGGTAAAGATGAGGAGGGGGAGTCTCCTGTATAGCCTGAAATTTTTTCACCCTTAATATTGTCACCACCTCTGCCTCCTCAATTCTGAAGTTCTCTGTCTAGATGGTTTTGATAGGTCTTCCGTCTTCATTTTGAGAATCTTACTGATTTATCGACCACCTGGTTTTTCTTTAGAAGACGACAGTAATCTAAACGATGCTTTGTTTGACTATTGTAGTTTTAACAAGCACTTGATTGTTCTGGAAGACTTCAGCATTGACATTGTTTGGATGAGGAACAGAGCTAAGAATACGACCGCTCCTATATTTTGGAATTCTTACAGAGCTGTGGCTTTACTCAACATGTCAAAATGCCCACACGTGGAGAGTCTACTTTAGTCATAATACTATCTAATGCTCCTATTGTTAGGAACGTCTTGGTAATTCCGTTTTTTGCAGGATCTGACCATAGTATAATGGCATTTGAAGTTCTTATTTCTTCGCCTTCACCGAATATAATACCGCTGCCAAATTTTGTTAGAGCTGACTATTACGCGTTCTGAAATATTTTTCCTCTACGAATTGGTGGGGCGATTTTGATGGCTACAGTTTTGTTGAAGATATCTACAAAAGGTATTGTCGCATCGCGTATGCAGGTTTAGCTAAATATGTCCCCTTTATTTTCATCGGCGGCAGTAAAGCGATATTCGAAACATGACAATAATTTATTAACTCGAAAATCCCGACTTCATGACATGTTACAAAACCATCCTTTACTGAGTTTACAGTACAAAAAGGTTTGCCAGGGGCTTGATTATTATCTGCGTAGATTCGTATCCCATAAAGAGCCACTGATAGCTCTCATAAGAGAGCTTTTTCTGCATTGATCAGGAATAAGATTAATCCACATACATGCATACCTTTTTTTGAAGATGAAAGCGGCAAAAGGTTTCTGACTGATCTTCAAAAAGAAGCCCTTCCGCAGTTGCTCCCATCTGTTTTTGTCCCAAATAGACTCTAACTCTGCAGCAGCTTCTATGAGCTATGATCTATGAGCTATGAGTGCTCGGGCACCTATACTCATAGTGTGTTAACTTCCCATGAAGTATATAGAAATTGAAATCGTTAAAAAGCTCCACTTTGGCACCTTCTGATCGTATTCCTCAAATCGTTTACAAAATCTGCGCCTTATTGTTGAGCGAACCTAACTGTATGATACCTAATGCATCTCTAATGTACAGTGAGGTCCCATCTAGCTGGAAAGACTCTATCGTTACTGCTATACATAAAATAACCGAACCAAAACTAGTCTCTTCTTTCCGACCAATAAGTACTACAGCGCCGCCTGCTGAAGCTCTGGACAAAATACTATGCGATAAAATTGTATCGCATCTAATGAGTAGCATTTTTATAACTGTAGAACAGCACGATTTTATTAGCAGTGCTCCCACAGTTACACTTGTAGCAGATTGCATATTTGATGGGGGTCTTGCTATTAGCGAAGGGAAGGATATAGATATTATCTACTTCGATTTATCCAAGGCTTTTGATAGAGTGGGTCATGAGAAGCTTCTTTTCAAATTACACCAATTAGGAATNNNNGGGTAACAGATTTTTACAGAGGTATCCTTGCACCAGTGGTGTTGTGCACCGAGGCGTATTGTCTCCTTTATTATTTGTAGCATACACACACGTCGTACCTTCATATCTCAACGCACCTTCTAGTTAGAGTAAAGATGTATGCCGATGACACCAAAATATATATGGCACTTACAACAATGATAACCAAGATCGAGTACACCAGGCCCTAACCCAATCTATTTGCAAGATGATGGAGTGGGCTGCTGATTGGGGAATACCTATAAACTTTGCGAAAACGTTTGTGCTTCATTTGGTAAAAGCCGTAATCAATCCTCACATAGTCAGCAACATTCCACTGAACACTTCGTACGAAGTTCGCGAACTCGGGTTTCTCATCAATTTCAGCATGGATTTATCGCGTCACATTGATGTAATAGTTCGAAAAACCTTCGCAGCTCTTTTGGCCATTTCTAGAAATGTTGGGTGCAATGATGCTTCAGTTT